ACAGGGATTGCATTGAATCTGTAGATCACTTTGGGTGGTACTGACATTTAACAATATTAAGTTCTGAAATTCATGAGCATGGTATGTCTTTCCATTTGTCTTTTCTAATTTCTTTCAGTGATGTTTTGTAGTTTTCATTGTACAAGTCTTTCACCTCTTTGCTTAATTCCTAAGTATTTTATTTTTTTTGATGCTATTGTTAAGAGAATTGTTTTCTTAATTTCCTTTTCAGATTGTTCATTGTTAGTGCATAGAAGTGCTGCAGTAGTTTTTAATCTGGGTTTTCACCTTTTCATTGAGTTTTCAATTTCAATAACTATATCTTGTGATTTTCTGATGTTTTCAATTAGTTCTTTGATTTCTTTAACCATTTTAGTCATCCTTACTCTATAGCCTTTATAGGTCTTTGGTTCTAATCTTTCTCTTCATTGTATCTACTGATTCCTTCTTTCATGGGAAATTGTTTTCCAGTGGTTTAAAAAAAAATTTAAATTGTAACTTACTTTCAGCAAGCCCTTAAATATGAAAATTTTACATGGTCTGTATTGAGGGCTCCTCTCTCCAGAGAAGGTTTGCATTTGCTACTGCCAAACACCGCAGGGGCATCACCAGCCAGGAATTCATTTTTATGTTAATTTATCAGCATTAGAATTTCTCAAACTAACTGGGTAGTACATATTTGAACTTCCATTCCCCATCAGGGCAGATCAATGGCTATGAACTTTCAAGGGAAATGTTTCCTTCCCATCCTGAGCTCAGGCTGACAGATAGGCTTCCCTATGATCTTCCTGGGATAGTGAGTATTCTTTTTTCTAGTCTATACTTTAACTGAGATTGCAGGGTCCTGCATGGTGGTCTCAGTTACAATGTCCTGCTGCTCATGATTGCAAAACCTTGTCTCCAATTCCTGTTGGGCCTATGCCCCTGGATTGCTGAGCTTGGCACCCTCACCCAGGACTGCCACCTTCTGATTTTCAGTTCTCTTTCTCCGTCTCCTCTACAGAGTGCCCTGACGTTCCTGCAGTGTCAGGTTGGGACTCATAGGGCCTCCTTCAGTAGTTGGCACTAAACAAAATACTTGCTGTTAAGCTTCTCAACAAATCTTGCTGCCTGTGTCTCAAATTATCTTTATGATGAAACAGAAAGACATTCAAGGCTTCAGCAGAACCGTCATCCAGAAAGAAACTCAGAGCCTGGAGGCGGCTTTCCACAGCAGGGTGCATCAGAAACTGGAAGGGGGTGTGGTGAGTCAGGCTGACGGGGACTCGGGTAGTCCTGAGCTGGGCACCCACACTGTGGAGATCCCCATAAATAATTACCCTTGAATTTAAAAAACCTCCATGAAACAGCCTTTTATTGACAAGAATGCTATTTCCTATTAAATCCGACATCTCCTCCTCTCCTCAGAAGCCCCTTCTCCATTCCAGGAAAACACTGCTCTGAGGTAAGCTGTCCACTGACTGCTGTGCGCCTTTAGTCACTCACTTCACCTCTCTGAATCCAGTTTCTGTAGAATAGAGAGCCCACATGTCTGCGTACTTCCGAGGATCTACCCATGGCTTTGAGAACCAGAATCAAATGTAAACTGACCTGCACATTTGTTATTTGAGGTTAGTGTGACCTTGATTCCCAAACCAGACAGGGACAGCACAGGAAAGAAAACACAGCTCCGTTTCATTCTCCAAAATTCCAAGTAAGATACTGGCTAACAGAATCCAACAGTGTGTATAAAACGTAATACATCACGTTCAAGTAGAATTTATCGCAGAAATGCAAGGCTAGTTCACATCAGAAAAATCAGTGTAATATACTAGAGAAAAAAATCACTACAGTGAAAATATTTTACCAAATTCCCCCCCAAATTATGATTTAAAATTCTAAAACAAAACAAAACACCACCTAACAATTAAAGGGTTCTTCCTAAAATTGATAAGGACTATATACTACAAACCAAATCCTAGAGCCAGGTCATGCATACTGGAGAAAGTTCGACCTATTCTCCTTAAGATCTGGAATAACACAAGGATACCCACTCTCACCCCTAGTCTTTAACAAAACGTTGGAGGTCCTGATTAATGTTATTAAGCCTTTTGGAAAAAATAAAATTAAACAGAAACTTAAGGAAAGAGAAGGGAAAACGTTCTGGCTTTCATTTGACTTCACAATTCATTTTTTCCACAATCCAATTACAATCTCTCTGAGGCTGGTGATCACGTCTGACACTTTTATTAAAATCCAGTACAGCGCAGAGTGTAAAGTTGGTGGTAGATCCCAGGTTACAAAGTAGTAAAGATGAAATAAGATTTATATGTGGAAACGACTGTACACATGCTAGAGAAGTACTTTTTCATGGCATCATCATTCATTTTCCAAAGGTGGTAGCTCCGCGGCGTTTTCTCCTAATGCTCTGGCTGGTCCCCCCTCGGATTCCAGGCCCCCAAGCCCGCTGCCCACGAGGACCCGCGCCGCCTCGCGCGCCGCCTTCCTCGCGCCGGCCAGCAGGTGGCGCGCGGCCTCCACCAGCCGGATGCAGAAGGGCTGCCCGGGCTCTGCCGCGAGAAGTCCCCTCGGAAAGGTGCCACCTTTCCTTGACGCTGCTGTTACTCTGGGTCGTCGTCCAGACGTTGCAAACGGTGCCCGTAGGTGCTCGAAAGGGCCCCGCCCTTCTCGCACGGCTTTCCCCGGAAAGCCAAGGAGCGGTCCGGGTCAGATCCCCTCGCCCAACCGAGCAGACCACGCGCGGGTCACCGAGGGGGGTGCGACCAGGGGCTGGTGTCTGCGCCCCTGCCCCGCCGTCCGCAGAGGGAAGGACGGGGGCGGGCCAGCGACTTGTCCTTGTGCTTCCGCTCTCGCCCCGCCGGGCCCAGGCCCACGCAAGGTGGCCTGTCGTGCAGGGCGCTGGGCGGGCTGACAACAGGTGGCCGAGACGTCAGGTGACAGGTCCGAAGGGCGGCCTGCGTGGGGATGGCCCGTCCTGCCCAGGTGCTGCAGCCAGAGCCCGCTTCCCTGGGGATAAGATTATCAACAACAACGACGGCCCTGGGTACTGCGTCGGTGTCGGCGCACGTGCTCATCTGCGGACGCTGAGGGTGTCCGCGGCGTGGATGCCGGGCAGGGCGCGGGCGACGGGCAGGGCGCCGCTGATGATGGGCTGGGCGCGCGTTGTGTCCAGAGCTGCCCGGACCGCGCTCCTTGACCCCCGCCCCGGAGGAGGGAGGGTCTCGGGCCGGGACCGCCGCCGAGGGCGCAGGACCCCGGCAGGTTCGGCCGAGAGCCCGAGGCCGCCCTCCACCCGCGGGCCGCGCTCCGCGGTGATGGATTCCGTGTCAGCGCCGGAAACGCCGCCGCCGCTGCCAGGGCAGACTCGGTGGCGCCACCCAAACACCTGCTCGGCTGGGCCTGAGAAAGTGGCCCCAGGTGAGACACTCATCCGCACCCGCCTGTCCCCCCTTCCTTCTCCAGTTCCGGTCCGCCTCGGGCCGGCCTTCCGGAACCTCCCGCCCCCACCCTCACTCGCCTAGGGAAGCGTCGTCCGAGGTGAGAGTGTAATATAAATACACCTATCCATATTATCAACTACACATTTTAAAGCAGGGTCCAAACGTTGCCTCTGAGGGCGGCAGTGGAAGTAGCGCGCTGGACACTTTCTCTCTGACTTCGCAGGCCTCTCCTCTCCCTCTCTCTCTGCCTTCCCTGGGCAGTCCAGGGGCGCAGTCAAGGGTGAAGGGCGCTGTAAGAGAGACCTGTTCTGGAAAGGAGGCCTGGCCCACGCCCTGGCTCCCTGAGGCTGGGTGAGGTACAGAGGAAGCCTGCGGCGGCCTGGGAACTCAGTTCCCACGGGCAAACGGTCACTCGGAGCAAACAGTGACACCCGGGAGGCTTCTTGCCCTTCCCCTAAACCTCGAGTCATGTTCTGAGTTCTACGAAGCCTTTTCTCTTCTGATCAACAAGCAGTTTCATTTACCCCAGAAGTGTCCTAACACCTACTGACAGGTAGTCCTTCCAGACTCCACGTTTTTTTCGAATGATGGAACTCCTAGGAGTCCCCATCACAGCAACTCCTTGGTTTGAAATTCACCCCCAAAGCACGGAACTAATTCTTCCCTGACGGACTAAGAGAAACTTCTGTGTTTAGAGCCTTTCCAGCCGCTGTCAGCTCTCCTAAAAATTGGCAGCAGCCCTTTGCCCCAAAGCGCTAGCCCTGACCACACATCCGAGGAGATTCTCTGCATGAGTTGCCAGGCTTGAGGGGTGGCGGAAGGGATGAAGAAGGGTTAAATAAAATGGGGAGAGAGAGAGAGATCTCAAAAATCATTCAGAATTCCGGTATTGACTTCAGACGTGTTTTATTATAATCTTATACAGTCTACATGAATTTGAACTGGTATTTATTTGGATTCAGTTATAACATAGCATAATAAAAATCAAAGCACTGGTCCTCTGAAATAAAGCAGGCAATCACCATTCAATAAACACACTTGATTTATTTTGTATAAAAGGGTTAAGTTTACAACTAAACTTTTATAAAAAGTTTAGCATGAATAAGTACATCATTACACTTTGTATGCAGAAATATACATCTCTGCCACTATACAAGAAAACTCTAATTAAAGAGTTCACAAGGTTTCACTCAATATATATATATTTATATATAAATATATACACAGCATTCAGTAGGCTCGAGTCAAAAAAGGTAATTTCTGACCAAAAGACTTCATTTAAGTAACTGAATACTGGATCCTTCTGGTATTCACGCTCCACCTTTGAAAAAAGGCAAAGTCTGCTTAAATTGGGCAATTCCTTGTGATTTTAATGTTTTCGCTCCCCATGGTGGGAATAGTATATAAAGAAAACCTTCCAACTGCAGAAAGGGCATTTAAAAGTCTTTTTCATAAATAACTAATATCACAGTCCAGGTCAGCGAACACACTGGGGAAGATGATCATTCTTAGTTTTCCTTCCATTTTTTAAAAAGGTCCATTCAACTTGTTGTTGTCCTTGTGAAATGGTTGAAAAATAAGTTCAGCGCCTTAAAAGATCCTGTGGATTTGTTGTTGTTATTGTTGTGCAAAGAAAAAAAAAAGTCGTGAACACCTGCAAAAGATTGGGAGAGAAAGGCATGTTTAGGAGAATGTAACCTAAGGGCAGAGGCGGGCAGGCCGGCGCCAGGAGGAAGCCACAGTTTGAACATTTAACCAAACACTCAAAGATTGGGCAAACCCTGGCGTCCAGATGCAACACACACTCTCGGCCTCGACAGCGCAGATTAAACATTAAAATAGCAGAGACTCAAGGGAAAAACTTCCCAACGCAATCTTCTATTTGGATCTCCAGCAGCAGTGCTCACAGGCGCCAGTCTGCTTCTTGTAACAATTATTTGATTGAAAACAGCCCTTTCGTTAACAGATAGGGAAGTCCGGAATCCCACATCACAGGGTCTGAGGCACAGGATAGCAATGCTCGGCTAGCCGAATCCCAGAGGGCTATAGTTTTAGGGAAGGAGGATCCCTATGGAATTTGTGGCGATAAGATTAATTATATGCAGGGTAGTACCTCCTAGTACCAGAGCAGTAGTAGAAAGGAGCCAGGGCATTAGGTGCGCGACAGAAGCCAATACACATTTCCCTCCGCCACCTTCATAATTAAAGTTATTGGCATCATTTATTTTATTTTATTTAAAGAAAATGTTCTGTTATTTTGAGTAACCCGAGCTAGAAACCCCTTCATGTCTAGTACACATAAACAATGTACTACGTGTAATACAACTAAGTACACGTTCATTTGCTAAACCAAGAATTTTGCAGAAACACAAGTACTCGAGCACACAAATGAAAAAACACGCGCGCGCACGCACACACTCCAAGAGACACAAGCAAACACTCACCATTTATTCAGCCACAGAGTGCTTTGCTGTCATTTGACATTAACTCAGAAGGGAATTCAGAAGCCTGCGAGAGAGAACGGGGATAAAAGGCAAGATGTTAGACCATCTTAAGGAGAAAGGGCCTTTTTAAAAAGTAGTCCATAAACAGCAAGTTCCATTAAACACGTCTATGCTACAATTCAGACTCAAAGACAGACGCATGAACATGTCAGAACTTATCAGCAATCTCACGCACGGCTCAATCTACAGCAGATTTGTAAGAAAATAAAGTTAATTAGCTCCTCCGTAAGTCACCGACTACGGCCGCCTGGACAATGGGTCTGCTAAAGGCAGCCCAGGCGGTCGCTGGGGTGCGCGGCGGCGAGCGGGGACACCGGAGCCGGTCTTACCTGCAAGGACAAGATGCTGATGTCCGTGTTTAGGGTGGTCAGCGGCGTCCTGGACGCCTGGCTCTGCCCGGGTCGCTGGTGGTGCAGGCTGACAATAGTGGGGTGCGAGTCCAGGGCGATCTGCAGGTCCAAGATGTAGTCGATGACGTGCTGCAGGATTTCCATCTTGCTCACCTTCTTATTCTGGGGGATGCTGGGCACCAGCTCCTTGAGCTTGGAGTAGCAGTCGTTCATGTTGTACAGCAGGCTCATCGGGTCGTCCACCGGGGTTTTGCTCCGGGAGATGCCCAGGCTGTGGTCCGAAAGGCTGTTTTTCCTAACGGACCTCACTGGACTGAAGGCTTTCATGCTGACCGCGGGGAACGAGAGACCAGGAGAGAGCGAGCTGCCCTGAAGCTCAGGCCGCCGCTGCCACCGCCGCCTGCGGAGCTTCTCACGCTCGGCACCGGGCTCGGCTGAGAACGAAGCCGGGAGCCCGGCGGGGCGGCTTTTATCCGCCCTCGCCGGGGCCACACGATCCGGCCTCCTTGCGTCCTCATTGGTGGAAGGACGCGCGTCCATCAGGCCGGGCGGGCGCCCCTATTGGCGGGCGCGGGCGCGGGGCGAGCGCTCAGTCCTTCCGCGTTCGCAGCCAATCCCCGCGGGGTGGGCGGGGCGGGCGCGAGCCCAGCTGGGGTGGTAAATAGTGTACAGTAGGCGCCGGGCGGGAGAGAGGGAGAGAGGGAGGGGGAAGGGTGGAGGGACTCAGGAGGAGGTTGCGGGGAGTGGGGAGACCCCGGGAATCTAAACGTGCATCTTAATTTCAATTCCAATGGCAAGGCAAGACACTCGCCCTAGGGTGTCCCCTACCGAAGCCTTCCACACCTTGGAGCTCTCAGCAGCCCTACAATCACAGCGACACGGGCCAGTTCAGCACAGCAGAAAGCCACCGTTCACTGGGACCCACGGAATGTCATCAAGTTAGAAAGCATTTCTGAAGAAAGTGAAAACGCAAATAAGTTTGCCATTGACAAGTGACGTTTGTAGAATGAGTTTGGTCTCTTAATTTAAGAAAAAGATACATATGTATGAAAAAATAGCCACCCACGCGCGCATTCAAGGCAGGTTTAGTGTGGGATCTTGCAACTCGGAGCAAAGCGGGAGGCATCACTGTAAACTCAGTAAAATGAGTACTTATTGGAAGCTGTGGTGATATTTAAGAAGTTCTGAGAGGCAGGGCATTTCCAGGGTTCCTTTTCTAGAACAGGGCAGGACTATTATAATGATCCTATTAATCGGAAATTATTAGGAAAATTTGCATATTGAAACGGTATTTACATACACTGACCTTGAGGGGCTGCTGGTCGATGCCCTGCAGTGTAGGTGGCAAAATAATGTGACTAATTATGCACACATCGTGATTTCTAGTGTCACATTCCAGCACCTACAGTACTTTTAAAGCTTTGTGACAGGTAGGTGGCCCCAGCCATCGATGGGCATCATTAAAAAAACTGTCATGTATGAGGTTTGGGATATTTTCAGCACTAGTACTGGATGCAGCTCTAGGTTTTTTTGTTTTTGCTGTAAATCTTTAAGAACTCATTCCTGCCCTCTAAATAAAAAAAGTTGGCAGCTATTTAGTAAAATACTTTTCAGTTAATTCACACAAAATTCTAGCTTAACCGAATACCACGGTAAATTAGTTATGTGTTTTGAAAATCATAGTTCTCTAGAATATAATAAACTAGAAGATCCCAGAAAACGTAGTATTTGTATCTTGCATACTTTTTGTCTCAATCTCCATCTCCTTTGCATTTCAGAAAAAGGAAGGGGGCAGAACTGGAGAAAAAGCAAAGCTTAATACTGGAGAAACAGTATTTTTTCCTTCAATTAATGATTAATTCCTCAGCTGGTGGGCCAGCCGGTCTCTGACACTGGCTGCAGCCTTGTGCCTGCCCCAGGGCTTCTGTTGAGAGAGGCAGAGTCGGTGGTGCTGAGGCGGCTGTCGCTTTCAGAAAATCCAGCCGCTTCAGTTTGGAGGATGGAGGTGGATGGTTTCCTTTCCGGCAGAAAAGTCTACGGAGGACGGAAGGCCCTGCAAATGCCGCCTGCAACTCTTTTCCTCACAGTGTTCAATTAACAACCTCTCCTCTGATATTAAGTCTGGAAATGATTTAATACCCGAGTCCCTCACAGTTCGAGCCTCTTGATGTACTTTGTGTGCATGTGTTTCTGTCACATACGTGCCACAGTGGAACAGATTTTGTTTTGACACTATTTTGGTTCATGATGTTATACTTTGACTATTTTACAATAATAGCCAATGTAAACAAACATCTTTGGGATTCTCAAATTATTACTTGTGATTCTTGGACATTGCAGCTCTGCGATACTAACGCATTCCTCGCTTTTTCCAAGGACACCGTATGTTAACATCCGTGCCAGCCTCATTATCCCAACAGCTAGGCTCGGGGCTGGTTCGTAATGAGCGTTGCGCGGTATTACTTTACACTCTTGCAAAGTTGATTAAGGCAGTACCTTCTCCCATGGTCATTTCTGTACCCTGATGTACTAAAATTGCTAAATATGGTGAAAGTTTTCTAGTGTTTCTTTCTTTAGCTGCCATGTCAGAGTCCAGTCTGCCTGATCGCGGAATTCGATTCCATTGGCATGCTACCCAGTTTTACATCCATCTAAAGATCATTTTAAGGAGATTAGGTGGCTGTATAAGTTAATGGTTTAAAAAAGGCATGAGTTAACTGGTGTGTCTGTCTCAGCAAGCCCAATAAGAAACTACCTTTAAAATTATGTTTTCGTGGGGAAGACGGTGTTGGAACATTTTGGGGTGAGTTACAAGGCACTGAAAACAATCTGTCAATTGGTGTCTCTGTGGGTTTGCATTTGAGGCCTCTAAAGTTCAAATGGTCCCAGCTGCAGAAAAGGCCCTGGATTTGCTAGATCCGTGGGTGGTGGGAAGGTGTGAAGGGCTTCCGGCGGGGGGTGGAGATACGGTCCCCCCATTTAAAGCCACACGCCAGCCCTGGAAGTTCCCCGAACCTGGTTCCAGGGTTCACTCACGCACTCAGGCTCCATCCCAGGCCGGGCGGCGGCTCCCAGCGCGTCCAGCCCCTCGCGATAATCAGAAGCAGCTCCGGGCCCGGCTTTGCAATCCCCGCGTGATGCAGCGGGCGGGGGGAGGCCCAGAGGAGCCTGCGGGGGGCGGGGGGAGGCTCAAGGTCCTCCCTGCACATCTGGCGCAACTGGGAGCGCTCGCCTTTCTTCCCCCCGGTTTTGTTCTCACAGCTGTGTCCATTCCGCCCGTGACCCCCCGAGTGATCCCTGACAGGTGATGAATTGGCAGCGGCGGCGGCGGCGGCGGCGCGCGGGCCAGGCCGCGGCGGGGCCGGAGCCGGAGCCCCGGAGCAGACTCTCTGGCGCCAGGCGCGTGACGCCGCCCATTCACGCCGCCCTGCAGCCTTGTCCTCGCGGCGCCGCTCAGGCGGCTGCCATGGCAACCGCGCCGTCACTCAGCGCGCGCGCCCAGCTGATCAATGCCTGCGAGGCCCGGCCGTCCCAGGCTCGCCCCGGCCCGGCCGCCCGGCCCGCGCGCACCTGCAGCCGCTGCACGTCTTAAGTTTCGAGCGATTTGGGGGAAGGAAGGACGACAGAGAAGAAAAGAAAAGGGGGAGGGGCGGGGGGAGAAGAAAAAAAGCCAAGAGAGGGAGAAGAAAGAAATCTTCCTTTTGCAGAAGGAGGCATAATGTGGCTTAGAGGTTGCCAAAGCAAAAGGTTTTGCTTTATTTTATTTGCTTTTGCAACCGAGGCGTTCAGGGTGGGGCTGGCGCGAGGGAAGGGCGGATGGGGAGAAGGTCACTATCTTAGCGAGATTTATTTATTCGTTTGGATCCTCGCGATCCTCACGGGGATGACTTTGATGCCAGACTCCTAAAAATACCTTTGGAGGACCCTCACCCCCGCCCCCCACTGACCCCTGCCTTCCTCTTCAGAACCCTTGGAGGTTGCATAAAAAAACCATCAGATTTTTCCACACCCTCCCCTGCCCCACCCCGGGGCGGGGGAGGCGGGAGGATGTGCAGCCGGTGCCGCTGCTCCGAGCCTCTGCGCCCAGAGGACCCGTGTCTGCGTCCTCAGTGCCACTACAAAGCCGGGCAGAGGGAGCCCCTTTCCAAATCTGCGTTTTCTACTGAGAACCTCAAGAGGCCAGAAACTTCCAAGGCAGCCCGCGGACGCAGACGCCTCCTCGGTCCCGGCTGTATCTCTAGGGAAAGTTCCATTTTAAGAACCAGATGCCAACATTCCCGGACAGTTTATGGCATCCGGATCCCTCAAGGGTGCTCGAATGTTAGCAGCAATTATTTATCATCTCTCCTGGAGAGGAGTTCTTGAACGTGCATGTCCTCTGCTGGCCCTAAAACCGGGGGGAGAGGGAGGGGGCCACGACTGTTCCCGATCCTGTTATCTGGTTTAGCAGAGTTTGTTGTGGTTTTCGAGGAAACAGCATCTGGATTACATAAGGATTCAAGTTTTTGCTTTACTTGTTTATTTAATACCTTGGCAAGAGGGAGCCCTTGCCCTGAAACCAGATAACCGAATTCGGGTTTAAAACAACCTCAGATGAGGGGCGACGAGAGGGGAAGAAAATGAGCAAAGCCACAGAAAGCAAACAAGGGGATGTTTATGTTTCTCCTTTCGGGTATTTTTGAAGACCTGCCTAACCTCTTCTTGTCGCGCACAGCTAATAAATTGCACTCACAGAGCGCTGCAGCTCCTGCAATGGCTTCCCGGTCCTCCCTCCCCCGCCCCGCCGCGATCGCGGCCCTAATTCCTTCTAGGATTCGCGCGGTCCTGCTTGCGCAGAGATCTCAGAGCATCAGGAAAAAGGCCGTGCTAAATCCAATTGCTTTCACCCGTCTGATCTTGTAGGGAGATCACCTTTCAGCTCCGTTCAAAGAAAGCAAAGTTTGGGAAGTTTGGCGGAGGGACCGATTTAACTACCAGCACTGCAAATATTTAGTTACAAATGCTGTGAAGTGCCCCGATTTGTGGCCGCGTTTGGCTTTCACAAAGGATTTTCCTGTGACTTTTGTTCCGGTCGCCAAATTAAAAAAGAATATTAACTTGAGCGAGAGATAAGGTCTTGGAAAACAATCCCGGGCCGCCCGCGTACTGGCGGGCGCGGGGCTGGCGTCGCCGTGTCTGCGCTGCCCCCAGGCGCGCGT